TTCCAAATTGTCATCATAACACCTCCACTGACCTCTGTGACCTCTGATGGCCTGCTGTCCATTGCTCTGTAGGCCAGGCGCCTCCCATTCGCCTGTCCAGGGTGAGCAAAAATGCATTATCTGAATTTGTTAAGTCCTGGCTTAATTATTTTCTTGGAAGGAAAGTGGCTTGTTTCAGTAATGAAATAACAGAGAAGATTGGGCTCAGATATTTAAAAGTTGGTCCTGCACAAACAATTATTTAAAATCAAGTATGTCATGTTGACATCAACTGGAAGCAAGTGAATCACTGAGAAAAATAAAGTGCATTTGACATTCAGCAGCACAGTTCTCCATGACTAAAACTTGTGCAGGCCTTTACCACACACTGTCCTCTATCTTATGTGTTGCCTTCATAAAGTACTTCAAGCTTAGCACAAGAAAGTCTTAAGGAAACTACCATAAACCTAAGACTACAGGTCACTGCCTACAACAATTACATTTTGAACACAGAGACGTCTAAAGTTTGTCTCCTTCCAATTCTGTCAGTTGTTTCACCAGTTGTGATCATGATTTTTGCCTGCCAAGTGCTGGATAAGTGGTTGGGGGTTTCCTGTAGGAAAAACCACCCGTGAAACAAGGTTCCTGGCTTTCTCACCGGACACAACAAAAACAAGTATGCAGAACAGAAGCTGAAAACACTGGCCAGCAATGATGGATTTAAGTTATTAACAGATCAAAAAGAGATGGATGGTGGTTTGCTTTTCTTAATCTACATCATCATCTAGATCTATTTAAAGATATGTGCTGCACTAACAAACTTGGTTAAGGTTTCGATAAAATCAGTAAAAATAATCTGCCCCGTTACATTGAGTCTGTATCGATCAATAAAATCACTTGTACAAGGAAAGTACTGTTAAGTACTGACAATCCCAGCCATTAATATTATTTAACACACCGTTCACAATCTTTAACGAGAACAAAGAGCAGTTTGTCTCATGTTATAAGCAGGACTTTCATGGATCCCGTGACTGCTATAGGCTTCACCAGTGATTTTAGGAAGTTTCAACTGTGTGTTCCCATTCACTGCCCCCAGCCTCACTCCTGAGTATTCATAAAGAGCTGTTCTTTTCTTCTGTTGCGGTTTTCAGGATTTCCTTGGTAAGAAGTAAAGTTGCTGTTTTATCACTTCTTCATCTGTGAAGTAAACTCAAAATCCTAAGGGCCTGAGCTGTAGGGAAGGCAGCAGGCAGAACAGCAGGTCTTTCGAGCTGAGACCTGCACCAATTTGGCTTTATCAAGGCCTTTCCCTCACCCAGGGCAGACGGAAAGAGAAAACTTCATTAGTCTACACCAGCGATGGATGGCTAGGGAAAAAAATGCATGGATATGACTTCATATCATGAAAGTAGAAGGTAGGGAAAAGGATAAATATATCTTACAGAAGGAGGAAGGTTTTTCTTTTTTCACCTCTACAGGTACTTAAGATTATATGTGTGGAAATAGTACAAAAACTCCTCTCAGAAGTAAGACTGACTTAGGGAGAACTGTAATTCTAAGATCTTAATTAGAAATCTGCTGCTCTAAGTGTATCTTTTGCAGTTTGACTTCACAATCCCAGCCAGCTTATGCTATGTAGCGGTTTGAAAATTTGCTGAGATGAGCAAAAACATGAAGACCTGAAGTTCACTTCCATGTAGGCAGTTGCTCTCAGACACATTATACCTACCGTGTAATCCTCACAGTGATTAAAAAGCAAAAACCAAAAACTGGAGGTGGCGTGTATAGAACTTGGAGAAAAGCTCCCTAAAACAAGCAGGCAAGCAAACAAACAAACAAAATCCCAAATAGTAACTGCTAGTATTTTTTAAACAATAAAGAAAAGATGAAAAAGGATGCTCAGAGATGGCTTTGGGCCACACAATAGACACTGTACCTAAGTTTTTTTTTAAAGATTTATTTATTTATGCATACAGAACTGGGGTACAGGCCAGAGGTATAGGGGTGATGAGAAGATTTACCAGAGACAGAGTGGAGAGTAGAACAGGCAGGTCTACTGAAATCACTGCTGAGGGGAGCAGCAGGCGAGACAGGAGGGGTCTGCTGTGCCATGTGGGTCACCTCCCTGGCCGGGGATCGAACTTGTGCTGAGGCAGCTGTGGTTAGCTTCATAGTGCTGTGCTTTAACCTGCTGCACCACCAGGGAGGGTGGTCTAACTTCTAAAGGAACTTAAATCACAGGACCCAGCAATTCCACATCTAGTCATCTACCCAAAGAACACAAAGCCAGTAATTAGAAAGGAAACCTGCACTCCTATGTTTACTGCAGCACTATTTACAATAACCAAGATATGGAAGCAACCCAAATGCCCCAAAACAGAGGAGCAGATCAAGAAGATGTGGTATATATACATCACAGAACCCTACTCAGTGATCAAAAAATATAAACTCATGGCATCTGCAGCAACACAGATGGAGATGGAATAGATTATACTAAGCAAAATACATCAGAAGGAAAAAGATAAATATTGGATAGTTTCACTTATATGCAGAAACAAGAGAAGCTGAACAAAGGGTCAGGGACAAGACAGAACTTGCAAGCTGACCATAGATCTGAGGCATCCAGCAAGTGAGAGGGGTCAGAACAGAGGAGGGAAGAGCATGAGGAACATGGCAGATGGATTAGGGGTGCTGAGGTGGTGGGAGAATGAAAAATTAACAACCATGTAGGACAATAAATTCACTGATGAAAAAATTAAAAATATGAACACCAGAAGTCACCAAGAAATAATGATTAGCCCAGAGTTTTCCTTTCATGAGGGATGGGAAAAGCACTCGCACGCTCCGCTCCGTACCTCCTGTCAGGGGACAGGGAGGAGAGAAGGCTCCCTTGAACTCCTCAGGCACTCAAGCGAGGGCAAGACTGGATGTTAAAAGGGCAACAGGAAGCCAGTCCTCTCAGCCTTCCCACCACATCTTTCAAACCCTATTTCTGAGAATAAAAAATTCTAAGCTCAATTTGCGCCTCACTGTAAACTCCCCTCTGTGCCAGATGATTTTCTCCGCATATTTACAACCAAAGTACAAACAACTTAAAATGTTTACACAGAGTAGGCATGGAAGTCACTGTATCAAGAACAATGGGAGGAAAAGAGTAAAGCTTTCTTCAGGATTAAAGCTTGAAGATAGGCAATCTCTCTGGAGAATCTGGTTTACAAAGAAGAGCACGTTGTTTACACAGCCCACTTAATTACAGAGAACAGGCATTTTTACCCTTACGTACAAAGTATAAAGTCTCATGCTTTTCTTTTTGCTTTCTTTGGTTTGGTTTTGCTCTTCAGTGTCGCCTGAAGCTCGGGAAGACTCACAGCTCTACAGACAAGAGTCTCCAGGAAGAAGACCACACATTTTCCTCTCCTTGTGGGCCTCGTTTCCTTTCATCCCTCTCTCCCAGGGAGAGGAAGTGTAGGAACCTCAACCGTGTCCAAAAGCGAAAGAACAAAAACAGGTAAGGGAGACAGTCTCCCCCAGAGGGGCCCAGGCCCCCTGCGTGTCAGCAAACTTCTGTGACCATGCCAACCACAGGAGGCCATCAGTATGCTCTTGATGTCATCCTACTGGCAGGCGGTCCCCTCAATATGTCACTCAGGACAAGCCTGTGGGGTGACTCCTCAGCTTCCAATCACTGGGGACTTGGGTACGATCTCTCAGAAACGCTCAGCAGAGGAAACAGTGTCGCGGCTTCATACAGGCCAGCACCCAGACCGGTCACCACGCTAAGCTTAATGCTGACATGCATGACAAAGGCCATGAAGGGACAACAGTCACCACTGCCCATTTGTGTGCTGTAGCAAGTGTCAGATGGATACATGACCATAGTGAATTCTTAACTCTCAGGTGAAGTCTGGCTCTTGTTTTTTAGGTTTCTTTTTTTAATATGAGATTTAACTTAATAGAAGTTATTTAAGGACTTTTCCTCCTACATGTTTTTTAAAGATTTATTATTTATGTATGCATACAGAACTGGGGTTCAGGCCTGAGGTGCAGGGGTGGTGAGAGGACTCACCAGAGACAGATTGGGGAGCAGAACAGGCAGACTGATGAAGTACACTCTGAGGGGAGCAGCGGGGAGACAGGAGAGGTCTGCCGCGTCATGGGGGTCTCCTCCGGGACGGGGATCAAACTCACACCAAAGTGGCCACGCCCAGTTTCGCAGTGCTGGGCATTAACTCGCTGCTCCACCAGGGAGAGCCAGGTTTTGTTTTTTTTTTGAGAGACAAGTTTTCCTCAAGTCCAAACTCAGTGTCCCACTGAACACAAACTTTGCCCTCTCAGCTCTTGGCCTGCACTGAGCAACTTGAACTGCTGATGGCTTCACTGAAGATTCACGTGAGGCCTCCCGCCCTTTTGTTTTTGAAACTTGGAGAAGTTGACATTGCACCATCTGATCCTTTGCTTTTTCTGTCCCTTGGCAAAGAGAGTGCTTTCATCTTATCTTTCTTAGGAAGTCCTGCTTGCTCCGCTCAGGTGCAAAACAAAAGACCACCCTAATACATTCTTTGCAAAACACACATTCTGATTTTCACAGAAGCTGGTGCTTCCTCACCAGCAAATCTTACACGCTCATTCTCAGTTTGATTCCAAAGAATAAAAATGCTGTTTCTCTCTCTGTCTCCCAGAACCCAACACCTAAAGGAAATGCTATGAGGAAAACAAAAGACAAAACCAAAGTAACTTGTAGAATCACACTTTATAAAATTGAATAGCTCCTTTCCATGTTAGTCTTTATCTTTCTAGAGTTTTAACTTTCTACTCAACTTTTACTCCCTTCACTTATATAAACAATTTAAACAGAACCTAGTTAAAAACAAACCAACACCATATTTCTAATTTTAGATTTCATAGTACTTGGTTGCTTGATATGTTTTTCCATCTTAACCATAAATTCCAAGAGAAAATAATGAAATAGAAGATGACTCATGATACATTATATATTAACTGAGGCGCTAACCACCTCTTACCTGTAAATATGTCTCCAAACCTTGTCTTCGTTGCTCCAAGACTTTTGGTACCCAGTTCCTCACGTGTTTAGAAGGGATCTCTGGAGTTTTTATACATTTCTTAAGCTAGAAAGAAAGAAACAAACAAAAAAACCCAAAAAAGTGTCTTGATTATAAAGACATTATTTGTGGGGGAAAAAAAGGCAATAAAATAAAGTGGAGGACTGCTATCTTTAATAAGAGGGGAAAATAAAACTACCCTGCAATTTTGTCAAAAAAAAGCTTCATGTAGCTATCTTCAATACTTGGTTGTTAGGATGTTCTGTCCGCAACTGTTTGTATTGCTGATATCATCTGGTATTTCAGATTGAAATTAGTATTTCTGGAAAACTAAAAGCTCTGTATATGAATTTATAAAAGAAGTAAAGCATTTTATAATTTCTAGAAACTGATTATAATGCAATGACATTTCTTTGGATATAGCACTTTTCCAGTGGAAAAATCTTTCTACATTTTTTTTTTTTTACATAAAAAAGCAAAACAAAGCAGTTGTTTATAACCATCATCGCTGGAAATGCCACATGAACTGGACTCCCCCATATGGAGAGTTTCTTGAAAGTTCTGAATAGAACTAATAGAAAAAACTAAACAAACAAAATCCAGGCTGATCCTTTCAACTTTTCTAAAATTAGGTCCAAATTCTGTTCATGAAACGTGAATGATGTTTCTCAGCTAATCCCTTCTGGCAGTAGTTTGAAGGGGCTATATAAATAAAGAGAAAGGCTGTTGGTATACACAGCCTATCAGATCCACACCCACACCCAGTGCCGGTGAATCTTCCCTTACATGGAAGGGTACTTCGCATATGAAACCAAACAAGGGGTTTGATCTTCAAACGGGAAGATTAGATATTCAAAGTGGGCTCAACATATTCATAAGGACTCTTCAAGAAGGCAGGAGGGTCAGAGTCAGAGACACTGGAGGATGCCAGGTGGCTGGGTGACTTCCAGAAGCTAGAAAAGGGGAGGCTATGGAGCCCTTTCTACAGCCCGTTGACACCTTAGTTTCAGCCCAGTGAAATGCACTTTTCTTGCGGAGTGAGGTAATTAAACTCTTGTTTCCCACGCCCTTGGGTTGCTGGTATATCCAGGCAAAGGTAATCCTGTCATATGGGAACCAGGGGTTCATTATGGTGACTCTTCGAGAAGCCCAATGAGTGTACAGGTAAGGAACAGAAATCGGCCCAAAGTAGCTCAGAAGAGGACCCCAAACCTCTTTTGAGAGAGACCGAGTTTGGTCACACCTTGGGTGAGACTGGGAGCAGACAGCCCAGGGGCTGTGCCCAGACTCCTGACCGATGGACACCAGAGCTCATGAATTTGTGTGTGTGTGTGTGTGTTTTTTTTTGTAAAAAAAGATTTATTTATTTTTGTATACAGAACTGGAGTACAGGGCAGAGGTGTAGTAGGTAAGAGCTTCACCAGAGACAGAGTGGGGAGCAGAACAAGCAGATATACTGAAACACACTGCTGAGAGGAGCAGTGGGAGAGACATGTGGGTCACTCCCTGGTTGGGGCTCAAACTCGTACTGCAGTGGCTGCAGACAGCTTCATTGTGTTGTGCTTTAACTTGTTGCGCCACCAGGGAGGGCCCTACTGTAATCATTTTAATCATATCTAACGTATACAATGTGCTATATCATCTATTATAATTACATAACATTATATAGAATATGAGTGTATAACATAAATTATAATTCTTTTAACAACTCAGCATTATATCATGTAACATTATTATACTGTTCTATATCATAATTATATAATGTTCTTTATCTGTATGTGCATATATGCAGACCATAAATTAGTATGATTATTTTTTTTAAAGTTTATTTTTACATCATCTTGTACATTATTTTTTTCCCCATCTCAATTGTAATACCCGCGGGTTTCTCATCACCAAGTCACCCGTGTGCCATCACCATAATCTCGTGCATTTCCCCCCCCCACCCCATTTTTGATCCCATTCCCCACTCCACCCCCACAAAATGTCTCTGGTCTATGGTTGTTCATTATTTTTGTTATTTTCTCGCCTGGTCCATTATACTCCTGCTATGAGTGAAACCATCCGGTATTTTTCTTTCTCTTTCTGGCTTATCTCACTAAGAATTTGTGTGGTTTTTAGCTGCTCCATTTGTGTGATCTGTCAATGCTACAATGGAAATGCATACAAAGACCAGGGTCTGAGGTCTCTAGCTCCAAAAGGCAGGGAAGAAAAGCCAGGCCGTGGGGAGGACAGGGGGAGAGATGGGAGTTGAGGGGAGGAGAGCTCCAAAGAGGGGCTGAGCCACCGAGGCAGGGGAGACTGGGAAGTCACCACACCAGGGCAGAGAGCAAGTGGGAAGTGGGCTTTATCTTGCTTCATCTTGTTACATGGGCAGTATGGTAGTGTGTTCATTCATTGGTGAGATTGATCTACTACTGAATGGGAAAGGGAAAGGAGGGAAAAAAGAAGGAGCTGGAGAGGGAGGAGGGAGAGGAAAACAGGGGGGAGGGGAAGGGAGATGTTCAGGAAGCGAGGGAGGGGAAATTTATGACTCTCTGCAGGTGATATATCTATAGCCATGTATATAGACATCTATCTCTATCCACACCGTGTGTGTTTATATGCACGAATGTGTAGTATTATGTGCCAGTGTTTACTTGAAGTTTCCATTTCAACAGAAAGAAACTTCCTTGAAAACTACGGAATCACCACATTTCTAAAATTTCAGAATAGAAAATCTATTCCACTATCTGTCTCGCCTTTAAAAAAAAAATCTCTAGACTTCTGAAGACATTTTTCCTTTTTATTTATGTCAGGGTCCAAGGAGCCGGGTCCTCACAGTTGCCGGCTCAGTGACAGCGCGTGCAGGTGAGTAATGAATTGATTAGATGGGGAGCGACAAACCCAGGACAATATGTTTCCAGGAGGGCTCAGCTGCTTACAAGATAAATACTGCGGTGCCACGCCGTCCGATGATTAACGGCTCTGGCCAGGCGGTGGCCAGCCGCACGCCGTCCTGATGCGCGCAGATAGCGCCCAGATTCCCCGATACCAGCCACACAATCCCCTTGGCCTGGCGTGGCCTCCCGCCTTCCCAATGGAGACGGTTAGAGCTTTGCACAGCACTGACTGCAACTGGGCCTGCCAGCGTCTGCATCGGCCTCAGGATCTGTTTTCTCCACCGAAAGGATCAGAAATACTTCCCCCGAGCACAGGGATTAAAAGTTGGAAAAGGAAAAAAAAAAAAAAGTGAAGGCAAAGAGGGGGCATTCCATTGGTTCCTGGGAGAGCCCCACATGGGTGCTCTCTGACTGGTTTAGCCCCCACGGCAGTGTTTTGGTTCTGAAATGTGCTCTTCATTAAATTAAATATGAGAACCCGATCTTTTACCCAAGCCAAAAGTAGGAAATAGCAAGAATGAGGACAGCTAATTTAGAAATGAACCAGCACCATATTTCCCGGAAATCTTTGTGACTAAAAGGCTGGGCCAGAACTGACGGGAACCAGCTGGGAAGGCACTCCATGCCCAGGAGACCAGCCGGGGCTGGAGCGTTTGGGGACCTTCTCTCCCCTTGCCATGATGCTGGAGCTGGGGAGGGGCGTGGCTTGCAGGGACCACCACCGACAGTGGGTGATCTGGCTGCGGGGTGGAGGATTTGCTGGGCATGGACACAACACTGACATGGTCAAGCTCACCTGTCCCCACAGCCTGGGCTGGGCAGGTCCAGAGGGCACCCGACAATTTTCTTTTCTTTTTTTTTTTTTTTAAGATTTATTTATTTGTGCATGCAGAACTGGGGTACAGGCCAGAGGCTCAGGGGTGGTAAGAGGCTTCACCAGAGACAGAGTGGGGAGCAGAACAGGCAGATTGATGAAGCACACTGCTGAGGGGAGCAGCGGGCGGGTCAGGAGAGGTCTGCTGAGCCATGTGGATCACCTCCAAGGCAGGCGGGAATCGAACTCATGAAGAAGTGGCTTTAGCTTCTCAGTGCTGTGCTTTAACTCGCTGTGCTACCAGGGAGGGCCCAATTTTATTTTCTTAAAGGGATACTGTGCTATACGGGTGAACAGAGAGGAGCAGGGTGGGGTGGTTGTGGTTCTGCGTGGTGATGTTTCTCCAACTAGAGCTCACAGAGGAAGAGCCACAGAGCTAACAGGGCAGAAGGAAGCGGGGTCAGACGTCTAGCGAACTCAACTCGCACAATCGAGACCGCTTCCCACCCACCACATCCAACGATTAATTCATAAGTATGCACACAGTGTCCTTCAAGCCGCCCATCAGCTAAATACGTGTGAGCTGCCTATGCGGAGCTCGGCAAGGCCAGGGAGGGAGGGAGATGCAGAAACAACGCCATGGCTCTCCATCAGAAAACAGGTCCGCTGGCTAGATACAACTTTGAGATGTTTTAACTGTTTAGTACTTTTAATTTAAGTAGAGGTCTCTATACGAAATGGTGCAGGCTTTGGTTTCAAAAATAAAGAGATCAGTGGAGAAAAAGAAGCTCAGAGGAAAGTGGGAGAAGCTGAAAAGTTGTATCTGGGTCTACACCAACAGAAACAGAGGCCACATCTCATGGCAAAGACAGAGGAAGGGGTTTTCATACAATGGGGCGAGAGGGGAGGTGACTTCGCTGCCAGTGACATTTTCTCAGGAGAAGCAGTGAGAAACAAGCTGGCCCCAAAAGGGTTTGGGGAGAACAGAATAATGCCCCGCCCCCCAAGGTGTTCACATTGCAGTGTGATGAAATCAATCATCCTAAAGTGGGGGATTATCCTGGATGATCCAGAAGGGTCCAGTGAGGGAAGGAGAGCGTCGGAGTGGGAAGAAGAGATGTAAGGACAGGAACGTGTCCTGAATGGGTTACTTACTGCTGGCTTTGAAGATGGGAGGCAGCCAGAAGCCAAGGAGTTTGGGCCACGGCTAGCGGCTGGAAAAGGCAAAGAGATTGACTCTCTTGAGCTCCCCGCAAGGAACACCGCCCTGCAGCCCCCCTTTAGAGTGAAAGCGTATGTGTGTAGCATTAGGACAAGTTTGCGGTGATTTGTTATAACAGCAATAGGACATGATTGTAGGGCTTATAATCATAGGCCTGAGGGTTGATGGCCATGATATGGGAGAGAGTACAGACTCATTTCAAAGTTTCAGAGAGAGAGAGAGATGATGAAAATCGCCTTTTCCCTAAAAGGCTATTCACCTGGTCTGAGAGAGAATGAGTAAAGAAGCAAGGGTCAGAAGTGATCAAAGCAGGGCCCTTCCTGGTGGCACAATGGGTTAAAGTACAACAATATGAAGTTGTCTGCAGCCACTGACACTTGAGTTCGATCCCCGCCCCGGAGGTGACCCACATGGCACAGCAGACCTCTCCTGACCCACCCGCTGCTCCCCTCAGCAGTGTATTTCAGTCACTCTGCCGTTCTGTTCCCCACTCTGTCTCAGGTGAAGTCTCTCACTCCCTGAACCTCTGGCCAATCTAGAAAAACTAAAAGAAAGATGTAATCTAATATGCACCATAGTTCTAGAAGAAATAACTCAAGCTCTGAAAGGGTGTAACTGACACATTGAATAACATAACAATGTTAAAACTTTCTTTAAATGTTCTGCGAAAGATACTTTGGCTAAACGGCTACTAGTAATAGGCCTTATAAACTAATGAGTTAAAAAAAGATAAAATGATAATTCCAAAAAGTGGGACTATAACTTGTGTTATATGTAACAATTATTTGCTAAATAAACAAATATAATTTAGGATTAGGGAGTTTTATTCAAAGGTACTAACAGGTTGTAGATATCTTTATATTTTCTATTTGTATTATAAATATGTAAATCTGCGATAATTATTTTGAAAGTCACTTGGATATGTGTGTGTGTGTGTGTGTGTGTGTGTGTATAATCTATCAACTCAGAAGCTGCACAAAAACCCACAGTCTTTCACAAAGAACACGACTTTTTGTAATGTAGCTTAAGGAAACAATTTTGAATATGGTAAAAAAATGTGTATGTAAAAAGGTTAGCAGTTATTAGAAGTTAGCCACGTGATACAGATGATCTCATCTGGCCTATCCAGAAATGCGGGGAAGTCAGTTTTCCACATTACAAATGGGGAGCCTGGGCCCAGCGAGATCATGTGACTTGTTCAGGGATTTAGCACCAGGAAGAGGTAAAGGCAGCCTAAGGACATTGTACTCTGCACATGGAAATCCGACACCACAGTTTACTATCACGGGTGAAAATGGTTAACACAGCAGCATATATCTCATTAAAAAAAAAAAAAAAGCATGAAAAGAATAGAAGGAAAATAGGAATTGTAATAGGATAGCAGAAATACATCTTGTGAGAAAGGGTTATTTCTCCTGGCCCCAAACTTTCTGCAAGGTTTAGCTGTATGACCTAAAATTTCCTGGAGAGGGAAATTATGCACATAGAAGGAAAAACCTCCAGGTTTCCCCCAAAATATTACAAGAAGTATTAAGAAGAATATAGGCAGTTAGGAACCATTTTCATAGATTAATATCAATAATCTCAAAACTGTGGGAGAGGTAACAGCCATTGAGAAGGACTTTTTTCAGCTAACCAGTCAAGCTGTCAGATAGGTAATGATTTTAGTTTCTACCTCTAAATGCCCCTGCAGATCAACTAGGATGCGTTTTTGCATGTCTGTGATACATGGAGGGGCGATATGCATTTTTTTTTTTTTAAACTGCAAAGCACTTGTTAAAAGCACATGTATTCTTGTGAGAATTAACTTGGGGAAGTTGGCCACACTCTTTTAACACATGTGAAATGCAACAGAAAATAGAAGAAAATCAGGACACTGTGCAACAGAATAAGTTACATACACTACAGAAGCAGGTGAGTTTTAAAAAAAAAACAGTAAATGTGAATATCTGTAACTGCATTTAAATGGAAAATATGCAAATTGCCACAGGGAAACTGCACTATGTGCAGGAGCAATCAGTAAAGTTATATGATCTGGCTAAGCGTTTTATCCATTTCAATTCCTAACAGAATTATACAGATAGTTTACAGAGGAATTACAGGTCTATGTTTATTCACATCCCCTTGTCTGTGACAAGGCAAGAAATGGAGACTTCTAGCAGCCACGTTCTGCTTAACACTGTAAAACGTAAGATTAGACAGGGTAGCCCAACTGAAACTCTGGCCCTAAAGCCAATTTTGTCTCCTGCTGGTAAGGTTGCTTAAACAAGGCTGCAAAAAGCAAGCACTATTAGGATTTGAGAGTTTCTGCTGTATTAAGTCTGCTAGACCTGATGATACAATCATCAGATTAGCTAAATCAATGAACAGAACTGCAAAATCAGAGAGGAGAGTCCTAGGAGATCTAGGAATTTTTTTCTAACTGTGAACACGTAAGGACTGCCTGTGGCCACTGGGGAGAATTACGGTAGAAAATAAATGGCACGCGAGGAAAGATCACCGTAAGCAACCTATGGTGGAAAAAAGCTGGGCAGCCTCCTGCTCCGGGCGGGCCTAATTGGCATCACCCAGCTGTGCCTTGCGGGGAGTTGGCCCCCTTATCTGGAGGGACAGCTGGGCGGTGTCGGGGTCACGGAGAGCTGGGCGCCGAGCTGGAAGGGCAGGAGGGGGCGCATTCGGGACAGGCTGGCCACGAGAGTGGCGGG